CGCTGCCACGCTTCTCTAAGGGTGTACTGTATACTAGATTTTAACCAAATCTCCTAATATTATACACATAAAACTATCTCTGTAGAATGGGCAGGACATCTGCAACATATGCCATCTACGAGAATACCAAGGAAAGCAATAGAGAAGAGGGTGTTTGGGGGTAGAAAGACCTAGGTAGAGATGGCATAACCCAAGATGCAAGTGAACCATTGGGGATAAGAATATGGAGAAGAGCTGCAAAAAGCAGAGAAAATTGGAGGCAAATTATTGGTAAGGCCCAAGCCCAACCAGGGCTGTTGCGCCATCGAAGAAGATAATATATAAATATTTAACCGTTCAAATATCAGAAACTATAAACCAATATCTTTAATGAACACCATTCCCAAAATATTTGAATCCATTATAACATCAAAAATTTCAACACTCAAATCATATTAAAGACGAATAACATGGTTTTTGAAGTCAGATCAACTGCAATTAATCTTTTGTCTTTAAAACATTTTGTATTCGATAAAATTTATAAACTTTCACAAAATGACATATATACTGATTTTACTTAGGCATTCGATAGTGAATTTTAATATTTTAATACAGAAACTCTATCATATTGGTCTCCATGGCAAATTGTTGAGTTGGATGAAATCTTATCTCATGGAGAATTCAAAACCTCAAATACGAAACTTCTTGTTCTAGAGATATAAATGTAATATCATGAGTACCTCAAGCTCACACCTCGGCCCTCTGTTTTTTAATCTATATAAATGACCTCAAATTTTCGTTATTAAATATTAAATTCTTACTACTTGCAGACGACTTAAAAATATATAATGAAATCAAAACCAATAATGATTCAAAAAACTATAAGAATCATTAAATACCCTAACTAGTTTGTGCAAGAGGAATAAGCTAGCTATATACATAAAAAAATATAAAGTTATGAGGTTTTCTAGGCAAAAGTTTCAAACAATATCAATACTTTATAGGTAATGAAAATCTTGAAATACTAAATGGATTTGAAGATCGATGAGTTAGCTTTGATTCATCATTAAAATTTAATAAACTTTGATTATATAATAAACAAAGCTAACAAAACCTTAGAATTTGTGGCACAAATGACTAGTAAATATCAAAATCCTTTATAATATAAAACATATCATTGGTGAAGCCATATTACTTCACCTGCTTGGACACCCTACTATGATATATATTCAAATAAGATTGAAACTGTATTAATTTCTCACCTACACGGCATGGTAACTTCAAATGGAATCCGGGAGATTTTCTCATAACTACTTCCATGTAGCTAATTATGTATATATTATGTATAATATTTATATTCGCATAGACAATTAAATGTTTTTTTTTGTTAACTGCTAAATAACTAAATTTATCGTCCCACTTCATTATTAAAAGTGAACTGAAAAATTCCACAGCAGAGTACTAGAAATTATGATAAATTTCATTTTTTGTTGCCATAGCTAAATCTAATTTAGGCTTACACTCTGCATTAAGGCGAATGAGTAAAAAGACAAATATGAAACCAATTTATTTTTTAAGCCAGAAATTAACTATACTAAATTTACTAAAATTAAGTATTTAATTGATATTACAATTGATATACACTACACGCCGATCCGGTGGCCGAGATCGCTAAGGCAGTAGTGCCGTAGCGATCTCGTACTGAAAGATCGCAGGTTCAAGTCTCGCCTCGGGCATGGTTGTATTGTGTTCGTCCTTTCACCCCCTATCATCACCACCACCATATCAAGGAAGGCAACGGGAAACCACCCAAAATAATTTATCCCAAGACAACCCGTTATGGGTCACCTAACTTCCGTATATGGAAGATAGGACTGAAGAAGAACACTACACATTTTGTAACAATGAATTTTGGGAGATTGCATGTTTAATGAATAAATGAAATAAAGTTCCTTTTTAGGTGAGAGAAAAAAGGGTCCTAATCAAATCAGAAGGAAACAAAAATGAATGAAAATAAACAAATGCATCTCATTTTTTAAATAAATAGAAGTAGGTAAATAAAGTCTACCTTACACAACTTCTGAAATATCCAATTCACTATGTTCCTCAATAACAATTGCACAGCACCCAGTAAAAAATTGCACATTTTTTCAATACCCATTTAATAAAAAATATGTCTGAAATATAGTATACGGTACAACCTAGGGAAGTCATTTAAACCAGCACTTTGCGCCATTCAAGCAGTTAGAATTCTGGAGGCATTCTTGAAAAGTGATGTCTTATAAAGGTGAATTGGTAATTAAGCGTTGGATAGACTCAAGGATGTTTATAGTGAATGCGAGGGCCGAAGGCCTGAGTCTTGCCGTGACTTAGATCCGGGCAAGCAAAGCGAGAAAACTTGCCTTTGAAAGTAAATTGGCATTACAATGCGGCAGAGACAAAGCATACGAAGGGCGAACCATGAAAATATCCCATCCGTGAGTTTTATTCATTTCTATTAGAGCATGTACAGTAATTAGGGCTTAAGCCCCGCAGACACGCTTCTCTAAGGTTGTACAGTATATTAAATTTTAACCAAAAATACTTCTTATTAAACAACTAATTAATGGTAAATTTCTCAAAATATCCTTCAAAGCTTAAAAATGATATTTCAATTACCTGTCACTTTTGGATCAAGTGTTCCTGAGTGGCCAGTTTTCTCTACTTTCAATATTTTCTTCAACCAAGCGACCACTTCATGCGAGCTTGGGTTTGAAGGCTTATCTATCATCATGCATCCATATTTGATATACTCCCTCAAATTTCTCTTCAAAGGTGATGCACCAAAAGGTAATGGAGTGAAATGATTTGTTCTCACATTGAGCTTGTCAAAGTTCTGTGGGGGTAAAAAATTAGAACATTTAAAGATAATACTACATTGCAACCTGAGAAAAAGTGTTAAAATCGTCAGAAAAATCGTGCAGAACAAATACTTCATTACATTAAAAAAAATGCATTAACTCGCTGAATGTTACATTGCGATACATTCCTGTGCATACATTACCTGGCTACAAACGTGAACATATTCAACACAATATCACTCTTACCTTCAACAGCAAGGGCCACTCTGAAGTATCTAAAGTATCGACTTTATCAGACGGGGCTACAGTAAACGATTTTTCACACTGTAGATCGGCTATTGACTTCGACCTTCTCTCTTTCTTTCCTTTCTTTTCTCTTGAAACATCTGGGGGGGGAAATGTAAAGCATGAATTGATTCGTTTAAAAATGTGTGCTTCTTTGTATCAACCACCACTTGGTAAATTCAAAATAACTAAGATTAAGGGGATGTAATACCACATGTAAACACACAATTAGTAACCTAAGTATCATATTATATCACAATAATTTATATTAAAACTTATTACATAATGACTAATCAATATATTTCAATTAATTGCAAACTCTAAACTAGCTACATGTAATGGAAATCGACAGTATTGAAGAAAACTTACCCAGGACCTCCATTATGGCGTGCACGTGGTCAAATCGAAGCCGGCATACTGTTATGAACCTCCAACCACACAGAGTAAAGATGGACCAACGGGGACGCTGCCGAGATGCTACTTGTGAGCATCAAAGAGTTTGCATCGCAAAACACTTGCATTATCATGCAGCCACAGAGATCTGCAGATTATGCTACTTGTGAGCGTCAAAGAGTTTGCATTGCAAAATACTTCATTGCCATGCAGCCACAGAGACATGCAGATTATGTGACAGCTGAGCACAATTGTACGTAGAGTAGCCTTAATTGCTTGCTGATCTGCTTGTGTATGTGCTGGTCAGTGAAATATTTTTCAGATTATCTTTTTAATTTTAGCTTAGTTTCCTTTTCTTGCGTATTCCTCCTCGCATCATTTTATTTTCGACAAAGTTTTTTTACGCAACTTGTTATTTTGGATTCTACAGTAGCTCCCAAGAAAAGGTCAGTTGCAGTCAAAATTTATTGTTGATTTGGCAATTGTTCCGAGACGTAGTCAAGTCTTAAATGGAACTTTCATTTAAATGAATTAAACACAAAATTAAGTTCGTTTTGCTAGGCTTTCAGATTTCTTTCAAATTCAGTCGGCTTTCATACTGCTCGTTGTGTGTATTTCGCGAACATTCATTCATGCCTGAGATATGACATAATATTCTGGGGAAATACATCTGATAGCTTCCAGGCTTCTAGATTACAAAACAATATTTGTACAAATAATGAGCAATCTAAGTAGTTTATCATTGTCTGGTCTCTTGATGTACGAATCACTGAATTTTGTCAAAAATTACTTGCTAAACCCTTGAGTGCACTTGGTGGACCTCAGAGGCCCGGCTATGATTCTTAGGCCGCTTGCCCACGCCGCGGCAGAAAACCCTCCAGCGACGACGGACAAAGGGACCGCAGCACGGTCCCTTTGTCCGTCGTCGCCGGAGGGTCTTCTGCCGCGGCGTGGGAAGCTGCCCTTAATGATGTATATATTTTTCTATTAACATTACAGATGTGTCCTATCATGTCACTCTCTGTTTTTATATTCCTTGTCTTATGGCAAAGGATGGTCCAGTGAGCCATGATTTTCTTTTTTCATATTTTTCAACTCTTTTTAATATAGTCGTGCTTACTAACTGGCCCTTCGAGCATAGCCGCCATGGACGCTTAGAGCAAGTCGGCGCTGTGTCGCACAGTGGAGTGTATATAGCGTTTGTGTGTATATAAAGTCGTGTGAAAGTGCGACTATCGAGTGTAAATAGAACCCAGTGTGAATGTGTGAGTGAATGAAAAAACAAGAATCAAGAAAACTAAATATCCAACATAAAGCGATTAAATAAAGTACCATTAAACGTTAGTGTAAACCTTAGGTTGCCGGTCAATGTGCCGGCTTCATCCATAGGTTAAGTTAGAAATAAGTTAGTAAGTAAGCACTGCCCCCTTTGCCGCATAAGCCAAAGAGCTGCGGGGAATGTACCCCCAACATGGCAATAAACTCCCGCCTCACCAGGGCTACTGGTGGGGGGAAAGTTGAAAAAAAAAAGCCCTCCGAGGCCCGGCAGTCTATTTTCCCTCATAAAATATACTTATAATCCCTGCTTTCCCTTATAAAGTATCATTTAATGCATAAGAAACACATTTATTTTATTGGAATTATTTCATATCATTCCAGACTTCATTATTTACTTTGCAAGATTCATAAATCATGGAAATAAAGAGCTTTTGTGTTGGGATTCTAGGGAAGGATTTATACCACAGTATAACAACAGTAGGGCTGAACATCATTTGCAACCGTACAAGTTAAACATGGTTACACTGTGTTTACATTAATTGGCAAAATAAACAACGGTACAACCAAAGATTGACCTGTTGCAAAAGATTTTGCAGAAAAATGGTAAAGGATTTGGTAGACATTCACTAATAGTTATAACTTTACAACTGTTTACATTTTGAGTTTCTGGTGGTAACTTTTTCCGTCCGTATTCCTGGGTGAATTTCTACTGGCGAAGAACATTACGAGCTGACACTCAGGAAATACCAACTGCACTGTGAGATTAAAACGGTAGATAATTATGTTCTAAAATTTTTGAATACCATAGAAATCGTTTTTTATATCATACAAGTCCAAACAACAAAATTATTTATCGTCTTAGCACAATACATCAAGACCAATACCAAGTAACAAAAAAGAAGAAACCATAAATTATTTTTGAATATTACAAAACAAAGATTAGCGTTGACCTCGCGGATTAAAAAAGTAGACAGTTACACATCATGAAGGCATACTCGTCAATAAATGAGGTTATTTTACGATAAGATTGACGTTGGTGCTTTGAATGCGTAGAAATCCATCTTCACAAAAATGATTCAGTGGAAAAGGGGTAGATGCAACTGGCAGAAGAATTTCCCCGTGCTAATATCAAAACATGAGTGAGAAACCCTCATATTCTCAAAAGGACCCTAAATGGTCTTTAAGTCTTCCGGATTCAAAAGAACACAAGTTTGGAAGTCCTATGGATCTTTTACAAAGAAAATAAAGAGGTAAGGGAAATATTTACAAATGTTAATATCGCGGTAAAATTGTTATAATTTCTTTCTATTCAGGTCATTACTTTCTTTCCAGATGTAAGTTATGTCTCTTTGAAAAAGACAAAAACCAAATCACAGTGATTCATGTGCAAGTTAATTTAATAATACATATCATTGCATTCATTACTTGTTCATTCTGGCTCCCAATTAGTGTTTTATTGAGACGGGGCCTCTGAAGCCCACGAAGTGGAAAGTCGCAAAATCCGAGCTCCGTGCATCGAAGTGCTGTGTCCTACATCAAGGTGACATTACGTCTGTTTTTCGCGTCGGTCCGGTAGATGTATAGGATCGCGATCGCATAGTAGTGCTGTATACATCTAGCGGTCCGACGGAGAAAGATGCGAAAAACAGTGACATAATGCCATTGTGAAGTAGGGGCAGAGATAGAAAAATCGCAGTATAGTGAACTCACATATGGGGCTACTAATGGAGAAATCATCATCGCTCTACACGTTAATGAGTTCTGCAAATTCCTTGATGTACAACAAGCACATAATCAACTGAAGAGAACACTGAAAACTGAGCTTACCAACCGACTCAAGGCAGTATTAAAAACTTCGCTCAAATCTCGAAACATCACGACTGCCATCAACATGTATGACCTGTCCATTATCACCTTCTCTAAGGGTATTCTTAAATGGTCGACAACCTTTCTAGAGAAACTGGAAAGAATTGTAAGAGTCCAAATGACATGTTTCGGTTGCCACCTTCACACAAGTGCGCTCCAGAGGATCACGCTGCCGCGGCAGATGGGAGGGCGTGGTATTTAAAGCTCACGAATATCTATGCCAAACAGATTAGAGCTATGAGGAAGTACTTTGAAGAAAAAGTATATACTTTTCAACTTCACAAGGCGGATGACAATAACACACCTCTCAAGACTCAAACAAGATATGCAAATTCCACGGTGTTCTTTGCACCAAGAGATCGGTTTCTGAAAACGAAAGCACTCAATAGTGCATACTATTCTTCTGCAGTAGCCAGTCCAAATGACGAGGATCGAATGTCGTATAAATGGCAGTGTAAACGATATTTATACACTGGATGTGAAGGTTTCATAAGAGCAGTTCAAGGTCAAGTGATTCGCACAAAAATACTACCTAAAATGTCATCTCAAAGACCCAGGAGTAGACTACTAACTGGTAAACATCTCTGGCGGAGATTATCAGACCATTTAGCATATTTTCTCAGGCTGTAGTTCTTCAGCTCCCACAGACTATAAAATGAGGTTCGATCGGGTGGACCGCATCATCTACACCAAACTTGTTAAGAAACACAGGCTCTCTCAGGAAGTTCACACAGCATTCTTTCAGAATCATCTAGGAGCTGTACTTGAAAATGAAACCCATTCGTTACACTGGGAGCGCAGTTCGAGTATTCTGACTAGCAGGACAATTCAGCACAACTGACCCGACGTTAACCTCTGGAAAAAATCTGGCAAGAAAGTTCAGTTTATTTACTGTGCAGTCTCAATACCAGTAACATGATAACATACCAAGCCAAAATCGCCAAATACAGAAAACTAGCATTTGTTGTAAAAGAACAACAGTGTGTTTCAGAATTCAAAACTGCAATATCAAGATCTCTCGGCAGATCGTTGGAAGACTTAGACTTGGAAATAGTAATATCTTTGGCCTCCAGTAGTCGGTTATTTGGTCTGGAATTTTATGATTATCTGTAGAAACTGTGTTATTTTGTGTTATGTTAGAATGTCTTATATGTTGTGTATATTTCAAATATGCCCATGTAGTCCAGTCATTAGGTTTTGAAAGGAGGAGTTAGCTGGGAAAAGGTTATAATTTTTTTCTTTGAACATGCTCTATGTACCCATGCTCTAGTTAAAATCCCATGTTCCCGACCTTTAGACCTTGTGCTAACTTCAGGAGCCCCTACAACTATTGTCTTTTTTCGTTGTTTTTTAAATATAAATCTATAATATTACGTCGAATTGAAAATGATTAAATTCAATTTCAAAATTTCCTACTTTTGCATGATTATTTTCCGAAATTAATTATCGAATGAGCTATGGTTAAAAAAAAATGTTATTTCAAAAAATGTCATCTTGCGCTGCTATGACAGTGATGTGTATGTAAAACTAGTGGATAGAGGAACGTCGTATACAATGTGACCACCGTCTGGTCAGCATGACTGTAACCGACAGAACGGCGACGTCCCCAGTGTGGGCTCGACTTTGCACTGCACTGCACTGCACTGCACTGCACTGCAACGGGTGTGGTCATGTCTGGGTCGACGGTTCGACGCCGTCTGCCGAGTGCTGGATTGGTGGCACGCGTACCACTGCGTTGGATTACTTCGTCCAGAAACAGCAATGGGCCCGTGAACATGTCCAATGGCATGCTGAATGGCAAAATGTACTTTTGGACGAGTCCGCTTCGATTTGTGCTACAGCGATGGTACCGCGTACGTGTTCGACGCTACCGTAGGGAACGCAATCTACCAGCCTGCATTGTTCAGCGCCATAACTGTCAAACGCTGGGCGCCACTTACTACAATGTACGATGTTGCCTCATACGTA